AGAGAATTATTATTAATTATGAAAAATTTGAATTTATCGCCTCTAGAAAGATTATACAGAAATTTTACACTAGCTTACACCCTTTGCCTAAGATAGTCATCTCAAACTCTGTGCTCACCCCTCTTTTGAAGTCTTTCCCCTGATAGACTCTTTCTACTGCTAGAACATGGTGTATAATTTATCACACATGCATAGAGCCACAGTGTAGTGATTTGCTACACTGTGTATAATTTTGACATTGCTCACTATTGTCAGGTTCAATCATCCAAAAATTTATCTCAATTCAATCTTTGTTCAAGTCTCCGCCATCTCTAAGTAGACTATGTAATCATTGTTCCAATTATACTGCCTAACTTTAATTTTTCTTCTCCTCAGTTCGTCTTCCACAGAGACTCCACAGTCATCCTCTGAAAACATAAATGATAATACAATTTCCACACCCTGGATCTGTCAGAGATTCCCTGAGAACTGAAAGATAATGTCCAGAATCTTCACATAGGCATTTAATTGGTAGAACTGTCCTATCACTGGAAAACATCACTGTGCATGTGACGTTGACATTTCTTCCATCTAACTATAGAGTCTCTTTTGGCATTCAAGGGTTCACTGATCTTGTAACTTGCCTTATCAATAAGTGGAATGACATAATCACAATTCCTGATTGGGTTTTAAGAGACCTGGTATTTTTTATTTTATTTCCTGAAACATAGTTAGCAATGCAGGGTCCATAATTCAGTTCCTGGAATATGTGAAGAAAACCCAAAGTATCAGAGCAAAATTTCAACACTAAGAGCAAGACAGCTAGGAGAGGTCATCTTCTGTCTTAAAGGGTAGTCAAATCTCACTTAAAATAAGCCACAGAAGTTACCCAGACAGTATAAGCTTTCAAGTAATCCCCGAAACAGCATGAAATTTTTTTTAAAAACTGGGAAATGAAATTTCAAAATGAGTCTCCAATCAATGTGAAAGTGCTAGCTAAATATTTGCAATGTAGAACTTTTTTTTACTTTTTAACAGTTTCTTTTTAAGATACAACTCACATATCAAACAATCCCTCATTTGAAGTGAATACTGTAAGTTTTTTGTGTATTTAGACATTTAAAAACTGTCATTTCTGAAAATTATTTCAAAAATAATTATTCTTTAGCTAGTGTATCATTTCCCCTTTATGCTTCTCATCTCTAAGCAGCCCTTAGCCTACGTTCCTATTTCAACACTGGCATTTTCTGAACATTGCAAGTAATGCATCAGGTGGCACATGGCCTCTTCTGATTGTCATCTTCCGTATGCACTGTGTTCAATGTTAATCCATGTTGTACCACGTAAAGACGATTTGTTCTGTTTATGGCCACGCTAGTTCTATTACATGGGCATTCCATGCTTTATGTACTCATCCGTTCTCAAACATTTGAGTTGACTCTGCCATTTAGCTGTTATGAATTTCATTCATGTAGTCTGTGAACACTTGTATGCAAGTTGTTGTGCTGATAGACATTTTCAATTTTCTTCACTATGTATCTATGGTCAGAATTACTGAGTCAGATGATAAATACACATTCCATCATGAAAATTGTTTACAAAGTTTCTGTACAATTTTATAGTGCACAAAGTTTCTGCTCAAATTTACAATTTTTCCATATCCCTACCAATATCTTTTATAACTACAGCTTTTGTTGTAGCTGGTGTCATGGTCTGAGGCACTGTTCAAATTCTGATATTTGATTTGCATCAACTTCATGATTATGTTATGAAGTTACATAATCTCTTCGTGTGTTCATTAGAAAATGACTATTCCTAAGGCTTGCCATTTTATTAGATTATTTATCATCTTTATGATTAATTTATAGTTGTCCCATATAAGGATATACATACTCTTTATGAGACACATAACTTGCAAAAGTCTCTACAGTCTGCTTTTTCATATTTTTACTTTCCTTTTTTGTTGTTGCTATTTGAACTGAGTGCCTTAAACATACTGGGCAAGATTTCTGTTATTGAAGTACTTTCTATAAGCTATCAAAGGAAAGAAATAATCATCAGTGTTATCCAACTGGAAATCTTAAGAGCTACAGGAAAGACTAGGTTGGTAAGACATATCTATTGCTCCACTAGTGACATGAGCATCATATGAGAAACCTACTAATTTATGATTAGATGTAAGTGTCACTCCACAAAATGAAACTCATACAAAATACCATTATTGGATCAAAACCCTTCATATTCTGGTCATAGGCCTTAGTGGAGAGCTTTTTCTTTTTTTCTTTTTCTTTTTTCTGCTAAATGGACATAGTATTAGGAAATCCCTAAGACTTATTGTTATATCAATAAATTAATGCATATCTACACCTTCATCAGAGGAATTTATATCTGTGGTAAATGGTAATGATCAAGGTGCAGAGAATAAAAGACTATGTTGTGGACAGCCTTAAAGGGGACATTTTTAGCATACCTCTCCTCCTCAAAAGACTCAGGAACCAATGTCAATAACTTTCTGATTAGATTTGAGGGCCACTCCACAGAAAGGAACAATTATTGTTGGTCCTGTAAATCTGGGTGAGAACCTTCCACTTTTGTCACAGGTCCTACAAGAGAACCTACTATGACTGTTTTGCTAAATGATCATGTTATCAGACTACCTTCTAAGTGCTCAGGTTTATACTCTACCTTTCCTGAGTAAGCCTTGAAGCACATTTTTAAAATTTTTGTTACAATTCATTTTAGGTATTTATTTTATCTTTTGTTACTTTTTCTCTTAGCATCAAGGATATTTGCATGTTTTCTTCTCTCTGTGCTCATATTTATGTATTTGATTCACTTTGTGTTAACTTTTTGTATTGTAAGAATTCAAATTTAATTTTTGTCAACATTTATACATTTACCATAGAATACTTTCTATTAAAATTATTATTTCCCATTTAGTAGTCATGACATCTGTATCAAAAAATCTGTTGACTATTCTCTGGTGTGTATTTTAGGCATCTTTGTCAAAAATAAGGTTGTTGTAATGGATGGGTATACATCTATCTCTTCTATTCCATTTGTCTGTGTGTCTGGTTCTGTGTTAATGGCTTGTTTTTTATCATCAACATGACTCTGTAGTATAACTTGATAGTGGGTATAATACTGTATCCAGCATAATTATTACCATTTTTCTCATGATTGCTTCATATATTGGTGCTTCCATATTAATCCTAAGATTGTTTTCTATTTCTGTGATGAATGCCATGGACATATTTGTTAGGATTGCATTGAATCTGTAAATTGCTTTTGGAAGAGTAGTCGTTTTCACAATAGTGATTTTTTTTCAATCTAAGGATATCAAAAATTTTCCTATTTTCAAGTGTCTTCCTTGATTTAGTTCTCAGAATCTTGAAGTTTGCATCAGCCCCTTAGTTGGGTTACTTCAAGATCTTTCCTTTAATTTTGAGGTTATTTCAAATAGGATTATTTCCCTGATTTCTCTAAGTGTGTTGTTACTGGAATATAAAAAAGATGTTAGTTTGTATGTTAGTTTGCTATCTTGATACTTTGCTGAAAGTGTTAATCAATTCCAGGGGTTTATAGTAGAGTCTTTAATGTCTCTTATTATAGAATCATGTTATCTCTAAACAGATATATATTAATTTATTTTCCTAGTTGTATTCCATATTATTTCCTTCTCTTTTTTTCTTGCTAGGACTATGGGTACTTACTGAGAGGAGTGAAAAGTGTGAACAGCCCTGTCTCATTCCTGATTTTAGAATGATTCAAATTATTCTATATTTAGTATTGATATCAGCTATGAATGTGTCATTTATAGTCTTTGTTATGCTGAGATGTGTTTCCTCTAAACCTGTTCTTCTCAGGACTTTTATACATAATTGGATGTTGGCTTTTCTCGAAATCTATTTCTGCATCTTTTAAGATGATAATGTAGTTTCTTTAAGTCCATTTATATGATTTATTACATTTATTTATTTGCATATATTGATCCATCCCTGAATCTCTGGAATAAAGCAAACTTGATCATGGTGAACAATCCATTTGGTGTATTATTGTATTTGGTTTAGAGATGTTTTGATAAGAATTTTTAAAGTTACATTCAACAAAGATATTGGTCTATGGCTTTCTTTTAGTTGTTGCATTTTTGTCTGGTTTTTGGTACTGGAGTAATTCTAGTTTTGTAAAGAAAGATTGGCAGTGTTCCTTCTATTTTAAATTAATTGCATAATTTGAGAAGCATTGGTTGTAGTAACATGCTTAAAACTCTGGTAGAATTCTGCTGTGAATCCATCTGAATATGAGCTATAGGTTTTATTTTGGAGGTGGGGTTTGTGTTATTATTGTTTCAGTCTTCTTACTAGTTATATTTCTGTTCAAATTATTATATCATTTTAACTTTCATGAGTCAGATGCATCTAGAAATTCATTCATGTCTTTTAAGTTTTCCAACTTAGTGGAATATAAGTTTCTAAAGTATGTCCTTATGGCTTTCTGAATTTGTTTTGTAATCTTTACAATATCTCCTTTCTCATGCATAATTGTATTGACTTGAGTATTCTTTCTTTTGTTTAATTTGGCTAAGAGTTCACCAAGATATTTTATCTTTTCAAGGAACCTACTCTTTGTTTCAATGTTTTTTTTGTGTATGTGGTTTTGTTTGTTCCCATTTTATAACTTTTCCCTTTATTTTCTTTATTTCTTTTAGTTCATTACTTTGGGGTGCTTTGCTATTTGTCTTATTTTGTTTAAGCAAGTTGAGGGAGTTCAGCAAGGAGAAAACCAGATTTCCATTCCCAGGAGTCACAAGGTGGAAGGAGAGAACAAGATCTTACAAGTTGTCCTCTGATCTCCATGCATATGCCATGGTACTCACACACACACACACACACACACACACACACACACACACACCTCAATAAATGTAATAAGATAGTTGAACTAAAAATTTTTGTTGATCAAGGTCATTTATAAACATACACATATGTAACTAAAGTCACAAAGAAACAGTGGACAAGAAGTCTTAATTAAATTTTATGGCATGCAGGGTTAAATTAAAGTCTTTTCTTAAAGTGAAATGGTGTGTGTGCTTCTTAATCATCACTGTTTTCCTTGAATACAGAGCTCAGGAAAAGTTCAACACCATTAGTATGCCTTCTGTTCAAGATGAATGGATTTAGTTGTTACTGAACAGTTGAAAGGCAATCGTAAATCTCCTTCACACCATGAAAATGATTCTGATAAATTGAGTCATCTGATGAGCAGTGACAGCAAAGGTCTTTTTTTTATAATTCTGAATAGATATAGATGCCTTCAAAAGAATGCTGTAGTGTCCAGTAACTTACTGAAGCAGATACAGAGATCCACAGATAAGTACTGGGGCAAGCTCCTGGAGTCCAGTCAAAGAGACTGAAGAGAGATTATATGAGCAAAGGGGTCAAGGTCATGATGGGGAAACCCACAGAGACTGCTGACCTGAGCGTGTGGGGGGAGCTCACGGAATCTAGACTAACAGCTGGGGAGTCTGCCTAGGACTCACCTATGCCCCCTAAATGTGGGTGATAGTTCTGTAGTTTGAGCAGTCTGTGGGGCCATTGGCAGAGGGATCAGGATTTATCCCTAGTGCATGAACTGACTTTTCAGAGCCTATTCTCTATGGTGGGATGCCTTGCTCAGCCTAGATACAGGGGAGAAGGGGCTTGGTTCTGCCTCAACTTGATATGCCAGAATTTGTTGACTTCCCAAGGGATGCTTTAAACTTTCTGATGAGTGGATGGGAGTTTGGGTGGTGGTAAGGTTTAGGGGAAGCAGGAGAAAGGGAGGGAGGTGTAACTGTGGTTGGTATGTAAAATTGAAAAAAAAAGCTTTCAGATAAATAATTTTAAAAAGAATCAAGAAAAAAACTAATGCTGACATGAAAAGTCAATAGCAAAGTGTAAAATTTGTTGAAACAAATTTGGTAACCACAAGCCTAAGGAATTCCAAGAGGTTGGTAGATAAAACCCACAGACGTTAGAAAGCACTGCTGTGGAATTAAATTTCCTAACTGGATAACATACTCGTATCACTATTAATCTATTCCAGGTGGTGAATATATGGCCCATTGCTCTAAATGTTATTAAAATAAAATTTTAAATAGCTTAGTCCCTGGTTAACATATTAGAATAATTAATTCTTCTTCCAGGAAAAAAATGACAACTACTTAGTCATAGGGTGATTTGCTGAAGGTCACTTTCCTGTGGAAACATCATGCACTATAATTCCTGTGGTCTTATTTGATGAGACTAGAACTGACCAGAGACATAAAGAAAATTAAAAGAATGATTACTAGCAAGCAATTTTTAAAAAGAGAAAATTAAGCATAGAAGTCTCGGCAAAACATGTTTGGTGAAAGTTGCTCACATTCTAAAGTTATGAGTTATTTCAAAAGTCTTGGGTCAGCGTTTACATTCAAGATCAGCTACGTCATGGGCTGAATGGTCTTCTGTGAGAAGAGCCTGATTACAGTACTTTTCCAATTTGATAGAATTCTGAAATTCCCCAAGCAATGACTCACTAGAATTTTACTGCTGGATTTATTGTTAACAGCACCTAGTAAGGTCTCTTCCAATGAAATCAAGAACAATTGTTCTCAAATCTCTTGAAATCGATGAAAATTCTTGTTGGAGATCATGAAAAGACAGGTTGGAAGAATATGTAACTCACAGTTGTATGAGTAGATGTAGGGCATAAACATTTTGCAATATTCACTATGCCGTAATACAGATTAGTGAAAGAAGTAAATGTCAGACCTAAAGACTATCAGTGTTCCAATGGATGACACAAACCATGCATGGGTTGGAAGCACTAAATGGATGTAGTAGGGTTTTGAAATCGTAAACGAAGTTAGTGATGAATAACCAATTGGTGTGATGTTCACTGGGGAAGATCATTTTTTCCCAATCTCAGAATCCCTTAGTGCCTGTTGTTCTTTGTGTGAGGGTGGAGGCCTCATTGACTTTCCCCCGTCCACTTCCCAATGTCTATTTGTGTCGTCCTTGCTCAGCTCGTGCTTAGGCAGTCACATTGTAGCAATCTATAGGCAATAGTCTATAGCTTTTGACAGTACCAGAAGGCACGGTCTCACAGCAAACTCCCTGGTCCTCTGACCATCTCCTCCTCTGCAGTATTTCCCGAGTTTGGTGCAAGAGTATTGTAGATGCATCTGTTAGGACTCAGCTCCACCATTCTGTCTTCCGAATGGTTCGTTTTTCTGCTGGTTTCCATCTGCAGCAAAGGGAAGGAAATGTGGTAGAAATATGAGAGCAGTTGGACAGGAGGCATTTGGGGTAGATTTGATTGAGACACACTATATGCATGTATGAAATTCTCCAATAATGTTTTTTTTGTTTTTAAAGTTAGGCTTTTCGTATCTGCTTCACACTGCATACCAATGTATCCTTGAGTAAGTAGATTGGAAAACAGTAGATCTACTCAGAGCACTTTTGGCATATTGAACCCAATGCTTTTGGGGAATTTTGCTAAGTTGGTGTAAGGATGCCATTGGTCTATCTGGAATAATGTGGGTGATGATATTGTTTTCTGCATAAAGAGTAATATTTTACAGAAGTCTTTTTTGTTTCTTTTAGGTGAGCTCCCATCACCTGTTACAAAACATAGACAGCCAATTCAGAAATGAAATCAAGCACCTAGCTTCAGTAACTCTATTAGATATAGTTTCTCAAAAAGAAAAGAATATGTCGGGTCCTGAGAACGTATTTCCAATAGCAAATCTTCAAATCCTAGGGATGTTGGAACCTGGATAAAATCCATTTGGATTATGTTCAAAGCACCATTGAGAATTTGGGTCTCAGGCACGTCCCATCTTTATAGTTCTTACAGAATGATGTTGCTGACAGGTGACACATGTCCTGAAAATAACCAGTTATCACAATGGCAGCATTGGTAGCAATCCACTCCATGGGTACCTTTATGGACAAATTTTACTAATCTACCTTTGCAATGAGTCACAAAAAGCTATCTTGAGAGGACCAGAGATTATGTCAGTAAACATAAAACAAGAGGGCTTTTCTTCATGTTCAAAGTCTCACCAGGTTTTACCCTTTGAGGCGAAAGCTTGTGTGGAGACTTTCATTGCAGCAGGTTGTTTAGCCCCTGCTGCAGCTTTCTGATTAGCACCTAAAGTTAGGAGAGTCCCTGCCTTTATAACAGGCATCCTTCAAGGTAATAAGAATGCATCTACAGTTCCCCAAGTTATCATCGCCTCTTCTTTTGGCTGAGGTGAGAAACCCTCTCATCATAAGCAACTCCAAAGCCGTATCCGTTCTGAATACACACACATCCTCAAGTATTTGGCTAATTGACACACTCTCTAAGTGCAGTAATTCTGCCACCTGGACCAGTTTTACTCCAAGTAAAGAATCGTGTGCTCCGGACCTGTTTAAAATGATAGATAATAGGTCCTGCTTCATAACCTTCGGGGTCAGTCTTGGAACCAGATCCATCAACACAAATTTGGGTCATGTTTCTCAAGGAGATTTCTAGTGAGTGAGGCACATTAATTTCCTAACTGAAGCAAGACAGTCACACTGGTGCTGGTATTTCAGAAGAGCACAGGATTCAGTGGGTTGCAGGGGTTAACCGGGCTGTAAGAGGAGAGTATGTTGAGCTTAATGGATTGGATGAGAATCATTATATGCACTCAACTCAGTTAGTGCCTGATAAGAAACCAGAAGACAAGGCAGAAAGCCTAGAATTTGTTCCATAGAAGTATCAAGGTCTGAAGCTTCATTTATAGTTCTGTGTCCAGGGGAGTGAGGCTCTAAAATCGTGCTGAGGGCAGGCAAAAGAGTTAGAGAACCCCCAAATCCCACAGTTAGGTGTCCCGCGGATCACCCACCCACATACACAGCCATTATATGTATGCAGAGAACCTAGCTCTGACCCATAGTCTATGATTTTAGCTTCAGTGTCTGTGAACCGTGTTAGAGCTGCTTACTTGTTTATTCTGTAGGTTGTGTCCTCATGCCCTCTTCTGCGGGATTCCCCTAGCTCCGCCTAGTGTTTGGGCATGGTAACTGCATCTTCTGCATCTGCTTCCATCAGATGCTGGCTGACTCTCCCCTGATTACAAACGGGCTATGAGTATAAGAGAATGCCATTAGAAATCAACCATTTCATTGACTCCCCCCTCCCCAGTCATGTTTGTTTCTATCCTGGGTCTTATTGTAACTTGATATGTCATGTGCAGTTGATATCCCTGGGAGACTTGGTGTTTTTTTGTTTTGTTTTGTTTTTTTAAGGGAAATAGAGGAGGTGTGGATCTGAGGGAGAAGAGACGTGGGGGAGAGGACTGGGAAGAGTGGAGGGAAGGGAAACCGAGGTCAGGATATAATGTCTGAGAAAAAACAAAATAAAACATCAATTAAGGTTGAAGCTACAGTAAGCAGGTAGTTTGCAATGTCTCTTGTGGAAATGAATTTAAACCTTATGTGAAGGACTGGATTGGCATAAGAAACCCCAACATCAAGTTATCAGCACAAAGGAGATTTATTTGCCCCAGAGGGACAAAGAGCATGGGATAAGGAATAAAAGCAGGAGACAGAGGACAGGGAGAGTGGGAAAGAGAACGAGGCAGGGGAGATGTTATTTTCCCTGGAGAGACAAAGGGCTGCCTCTGGATGGAGAGGAGGCAGACATGGTCAATAGGCAAGTGAAAGTTTATAAAGGGAAAAGGGAAACCCTATGTTGTGGTGACTTAGCTTTGATATGGCATGTTAACTGGGCAAGCCAAAAAGGGGCTTTGGACTGCTAGACTTCACTACTTTGATTGCTGGACATTGAGGGTCAGTCTCAATGGGGAGGTAGTGACCAAATAAGGGAATAGACATTGATGGATAGATTTAGGAATGCAATCTAATGGTTTTCAGCAAGGCAGACGGAATGGAGAAGGGCAAGGCCTGCCAGACATATATTTACCATGCTCAGGCCTGCTAGAATCCTTCACTAAGTACATATCCATTCCCTCGCAAATTGATGAAACAGCCTTTGGTAACTAAGGATTCCTAAAGGTGAATCACACTGAGAAGACATCTTCAGAATATGGAAAGCCTGTTGAGTTTCTACCTCCAGAATCGAAGTCTCACTTGATCAATCTAAGAAAGATGTTAAGATCACGGAACAGTTGGCATTCTTGGCCAACAGTATCCAGATATCTTTTGTGGCTATGTTGAACAGTGGCCTAGGATAAATTTTATAGATTTTGAAATATTATGGAAGATAGAAGATGCACAGTACCAACCAAATCTTGGTGGAATCTCCAAGAAAACTGTAAATAAACAAAGGTCACTACACTATGAACAAATGCTCTCTATACAGTAGTTGCTAAATGGAAGAATCGCCAGCATACATTGTATGAGTTTTTCAGAGACTCCAATATAGAAAGTATTGTGAGAGATCAGTAATGAAGGAAAGCTTTTCACATATGCCAAAACTAAGACCATTTGGAGGGGGAGAGTTAGAGGTAAGCCAACTGGAAGCAGTTAGCCAAGTCATGTGAAAGAAAAGCTAGATTGGGGAATTGTCTAGATCAGAGCGGTCCATGAGAATGTAGTATTTGGGAGATTGATGAAGAAAGGTTCTGTCAATTTGAAGTTGGTCCTGGACCATATAAGAAAGCCAGCCAAGAATAGGCAAGAGAACAAATCAGAAAACAGTATTTCTCTTTGGTTTCTGCCTTTCAGCTCTAACCCTGACTTCCCTGGATGACAAAGTATAACTTGAAAGTGTAACCCAAATAAATTCTTTCTTTTGGTCAGAGTATTTACCACAACAACAGAAGGGAAACTAAAACATAAGTATTGATTATAGTTAAATAGGAATGTAATTTTTGGCCCTAAGTTGGAAACATGGCAAAAAAATGTGGAATCTGGCAATAATTAAGTTCTGATGGATTTGGAAACCAACATGAGAAGGTTCTAGATGTGCCTTTAGATTAGTTCTTACAAGAGTTTGTGACCAGAGTTACATGTGGACTGTTATCTCTCTTAGTCCATTTTTGATTATAAGAAAATATCTGATGCTTACTAATATAGGAAATATAAACCTTATAGTTTTGTAGGTCCAACAGCATGAACCTGTCATCAGCTTGACTTTTATGATGGTTTTCTGGCTATATCACAAATAACGGACAGCGTCATAGTGGGGTTATACGCCACAGAGAAAAAAAGAGCATATAAGACAGGAAGCAAGACAAAAAGATCAATATAACAAAATTGGCTTTATAACAATCTTCTCCAAAGCTACTGTAACCATCCAGGTTTGACTTAATTCCTTCTGAAGGTGGTACCCAAGACCTATTCTCTTTCCACTAAAGCACATCTCTAAGGTTCTACCACCTTACCCTTCCACAATGAATCCTAGATCATCAGCGTGTGAAACTGCTGCATAAACTCAAAACACAACCAAATCATAATACTTTGCATGTCTTATCTAATCACACACTGAGCTTTGAAGCTGCTAGGACAATTGTGTCAGTCACACTGTTGATAAGGAATGTGTGACCTGAAAAATACGCCGGACTTTCTTAGTGGTCCCAAAAGCAGTCTATCCATGTTTAGAACAGTTGAAAGCTAATCTAATGACATGATACAACCTTATAGACTTATAATAAGCCCTCAGCTTTGCGCATACAGTGATACATCAAACCGCTGGGGAAAGACTAGCCAGCAAGCGACTTACAGTTGCAATAAGGGTCTGGAAATTCAACATTCGTCTCTTAGAAAATTAAGAAGAGGAGAAAATGAAACCTTAGATTATAGGTCCCTGCTCCACAGCCAGATATATAAGGAAACTAGGAAAATGGATACTCTAGCAATACTCAACAATGAAAGATTAAAGACAGGGGTATCTAGTGCAATTTAGACTTTGTTTGCAAACATGAAAGGGGACACATGGGGATTTGCATATCCAACAGTAACATGCAGTTTTAAAAAGTGCGAAGTAACACACACAAAAGTGCACAGAAATAGAATCTGATAACCCAGAATACAGGACCACCATCTCTGCTGAAACACAGCATGCTTCCCTAAAGCCTCTCCCACCCTTTGATCAAAGACAATCTCAAGAAAGACTATTCTTATTCACTCCATCAGAGACCTGGCTGACCTCATTAGGTATTTCTGTCTATTCACACATATAGCAGGTAGCTCTTCTTACAGTATCTCTGCAAGGAGACACCTCAAATTGCCAGGCCATCAAGAATGTGTAGCCAAGAGTGTATGTCATGATCCTTATCTGCCAGGCTGTCCAGCAGTTCTTCCTTGTTGGAGATGAAACTCTCTGGCCTGAAACTTATCCTAAGAGTGTCATAGAGTAAAATACACCAAAGGAAAAAAGTCTATCTGCTCAAACTATTAGTCTTACATTGACATTTTTCAGAAGTGGGTGACCTGAACAGTGTTTAATACAGTTGGCAGGCATGTTTGGTGGTTATAATGCCTTATAAAAATCAGTCATGCCCCCAGAAAAGTGTTTTCTTTGTTTTTTCAAGACAGGGTTTCTCAGTGTAACTTTGGAGCCTGTCCTGTAACCAACACTTATAGACCAGGCTGGTCCCGAACTCACAGAGATCAACCTGCCTCTGCCTCCCACATGCTGAGATTAAACATGTGTGCCACCACTGCCCAACTACAAAAAATTCTATAAAAGATAAAACAATATTTAAACACAGCTTTTAAGGAACATAAATACAATGTTTAAAGAATGCTTCTAAAAAAGAATGAATATTGTATCTAACTTACAAAAATAAAAAAAACTTCTATGACATTACTCATCAAATATACACAGAATATCACTAAAGTTTCCAGCCAAATGTGTCAAGATTCCCAGGTAAATAGATTCTGTATATCAGAAGTAGATTCTAAGAATTGGTATATTATCAAGACTTATAAAATCAGTGGCATGTGTCCTGAATAGATGACAACAAGCCTAAGATGTACCAGGTTCAAGTTAAAGAAATAACTCACCATCATCTTCATCCTTCCCAGACAGAATACAATTTTAAAATTCTTCCAATTAATTCTAATTAACATTTACTCATACAAATGTGACACAGGGGAGACTGTAAACCTCTTTCTGTTTGACAGTATTTCCCAAGTGTCTCATTATAGTACTTCAGATAATCAGCACCATTTCTAAGCCTTCTTCCAGTGAAAGGGAAAAAACACCTTCATGATTTTCCAGGGATCTTTGAGAGATGTCACTAGTTTTGGTGGCTAATCAATCTAACCAAATGATGTACTTGACATAAAAATCAGTTGGTTTTCTAAGGGTTACTAGACACCCACTGCTTTGGTCTCCCTACCTTGCCCGGGATTTGAATTGTTTGCCCAGCTAAAGTGAAGCTGCTTTCTCTGTGTTCATAACCACAAACCATTTCCTGAATTGAATTTCCTGTTGTCACCGACTTTGTCCGCATTTGCTAGGCTTCAAGAACATTCTCATCTCTACCTCTCCTTTCCTCACTTCTCACAACCAAGAGTCTACATATAAAACTTTGCCCACTCATCCTTTCCATGAGACGTATATGATTTAAGCTTCAAGGGACTGTGTGATAATGCTCCCCTCATCCTATTTCAATAACCTTCTTAATAAGTTTCCATGTTTATGTCCAGATTGGATGTTGTTCTACAGCAGTGATGATTCTGTAATTTGAACAGAATTCTGACTGCCCCTCAACTGTTGTTTTTTTCTACAACGTGCCATGACTTGGACAGAATGCTGACTTCTCCTGCTCTCCTCACCCAAGGGGTAATACCATCTTATTGAACCTTTGCAGCCTGTCCTGGAAAGCAAAATCCACAATGGTGAGTCCATACCCTCCAAATTCCAATATCCCAACATTCTAGATGGTTTTTTTTTCTCCTTTGTAAGTCCACTTTAGTTCTCCCTCGATTTTGACTTTTTCTACTCTTTCTCTAAAATCCCTCAACATTTTTATAAATATGGTTAAACTTCATGACTGATTCCTAGGAAGCCATATCTCAATTTGAGGTCAAAGGCCTCTGGCAGGGGTTTCTTTTATTGTCAAGGTGAACTGTCAATCATCTCTTACACCTCGCATCCCAGACTGCGAGATGCGTGCTCTTGAGACAACTTGGAATCTTCCCAAACTGTCTTATTTTGAGGAGGGCTGTTTGTTTCCACAACTCTGATATCTCGCCCAAGCAGCACATAGCTTTTCCCTACCTACTTATTTGTTATAGATAGAAACAATGTCATTCCTTCAAAACCCCTTGCAGAGCCGTTGCTTCCCACAGAGGCCACCTCTCCTCCATCGCCCCCTACCCCGGCTCCAGGCTTTTGTCTTAAGACATTCCCATTGCCGACTCCAAGATTTCTACCTCCTGTCTTTACTTACCTGACTTGATTTTTTGAATCTTCTAACCTTCAAAACCTCTACCCTCCCTACTTCTTTGCCTAACTCTGCCAGACCTCAGTTTGCCCTCTAACTTCTTATGCTTTCTGGGTTAGAAGCACCTCTGCCCTTACTGGCGCCTCTGTGGGAGCTTAGGGCCACCAACAGCAACAGTCTGAGGCCAAAATGTCTATAAAAAAGACAAATTAAACATTTATCCACTAGCAGGCTTGAGAAACACCAGATGACAGCCATTGTCTCTCCTCTCTCCTGCCTTGCTCTAGCCCACAGACTTCATAGAACTCAACATCAGGTCAAAGAACGAAAGGTCCATTACACCAACAATGGTGAAAAGGCTTCTGCCCTTATATTGAGCTGGTTGCTTCGTTTTCCCTTGTCAAACCACAATCTTTATAAAAAGGAAAAAAAGCAGGAGATGAGACTCCATTCTTTTCTATAAACGAATGAGCTGTATATTTCTGTGTTAATGCCTCAACTGTGGCTAAAATTTAAAGTTGGAATCTGTTACACTATTTATGTCCCTGTCTGTATAGGTACATATGCAATTATGCATGTGTGGGTATGCCTGTACAAACTGTGTTTGTGCAATGTTTTCTTTCATCCAGATGGCATCACCACATTCAATTATAAAATCCCTTAATGGGGCTCATTTTGGATTGGCTTAGAGCTAAATAAAAGCCTATAGAAATTAAGAAATTTAAGTTTCCATATGACTAATGTAAAAGCAATTGTTGTTATAAAGTCTTTAATAGAATGTATTAAAAACTCAAGTCCACACACTTAAGGTAAATTGTTAGCTAATGAGACTAGTTTATATGATGACTTGAATACAGTAAAGTCTTCCTCTGAATTGTCAGTGAAACAAGCATAAATTTAGATTTATTTCATTTGGGTGTTCCTTGCTTATGCACACACTTCATATATTTGCTTGATATACATATTCTCAGTATATTCTATGTGCTTGATATCCGTGACATATGATGGCTTAAGCTATTATATCTGAAAATTTTCTCTTTGAAAATTATGCTTATCTATTTCATAAGTTAGATACACTCTTCTTTGAAAATAGAATTAATCTTTCCATGTATATATATTTAGCTTAAAACTTTTGAATTGACTTTAAGTGTCATATGAATAATCAAATTTCCCTGGCATTTGCATTATTATGCACTTAACTTACACTGGATCTTTTAATTTCCAAACTTTAAAAATAATGTTGAACACAGACATTTTCACTCTGTCTTCTACAGTTGTTTGTGGTGGTCTCTGATACGTTCCACCCATTGTCAGCATATTAACTACAGTGCAGAGGGCTTTATCAGCAGCAAAAGACTAGCTCAGATACCCAACAAAAATGTCAGGAACTTGGAAACAGGGATAATTTAACCAAGGTTCATCCTGGAAGACAGTATTTGAGAATGACTCATATCATCCGATTTGACAATATACCTTTAAGGAATGTGTCTAACTATCTGGGGGAATCTCACCTGATTCCTGGCTTTCATGCTCTCCAGCCTTATAGGTGAGGAAGGAAATGGCTTCCCACCAGGCTCAGAAGTTAGAGAATCTCTGGAGTCCTAAGGAAAATAGAATCCCTGCTGTATCAACAGGCTCTGCAAGCCACACAGGGTGATAAGCACCTAGCTCGGTTTCTTACCCACAGAGGCTCTGAAAAGTACAATTTGAGATTCCCAGCATCTTCCAGCAGAGCAAATGTAAAAATTCGGCTGCAAATTGCCATTCTTGGTACACCTGTATGAGTAACCAGGCCAAATTCAACAAGGTCAACCAGATCCCTGACTGAATGGTCAAGAAAAATCAAAAAATGGGAGAGACTTTAGGGAGGTTTCAGAGGGACAATGGCCAATCTTCTGTTTCTAGTCCAGTGCACTTATGTTTGAGCTACTTTCTATCTTTTTTTAAACAGCATGTAGCTGATATGAAGACTACATTTGGCAGAGATTTAATTGGTTTCTTCTTCTACTGTGGACATGTTGATCTGGGTGTCAAATTTCAAGATATACTTGGTTTTTACACATTGTGCAGGTGGTCAAACTTCAGCAAATTTTCTGTACCTTGCACAAATTGTCAGCCTTCAACCAAGTTTTCAGACCTTCTGGTTTCTTTCAGTATCTGTCTCTCTACATATCTCCATATTTCTAAATTAACCATCTACTTTGTCTCTTTCTTTTTTTTTTTTTTTTTTTGGTATTTACGTGACAGGGTTTCTCTGTATTGTTTTGGAGGCTGTCGGTCCAGCCTGGCCTCAAACTCACAGAGATCCACCTACCTTTGCCTCCCGAGTGCTGGGATTAAAGGCGTGCATCACCACCACCCGGCTTTTTTTTTTTTTTTTTTTTTGGAACTTTGACTCTTTCTTGTGAGACTTAAACCTCTTAAGAGAGATGTTTGCTGTAGTCCTAGTTTATCAGCTTGATTCTGGCAGATAAATTTCAATGTCCTGTTACGCATTTATAAAGACTCACCCATAGCTGTTGTGGGCTATGACTGTTTTCTTCTGGACAGGCAACTGTTCTTACCACTAAACATATCCATTGAAATCTAAGTCACTTCCTGAAGAAGGCTGCCAAGGTACTGCAGGACATCACCAATAACATCAGAAAACTCAAGGAGCTGTGCTAGTGTGCCTCAGTCAGAAGGGTCCATCCAGTCCATCCATCAAATCTATACTTCCCTGAAATGGACAGCCTAGATTTCAGCTTCTGTATCTTTCATTAATGCATCCATTTTCCTTAATATTTCCCATTTTTCTTTGCATTCAGTGATTTAAAGGATACTTCATTGATTTAGTCAGCATGCCAAATAATTGTTCAAGGTGAAAACTCTCACCCTGGATATTATTCCATCCTCTCATAACCTAATTGAAATTCTCCTCATCCCTGTTTTATAAAAGTACATACCAACTTTTTATTTTATTTTATTTTTTAAGAAAAGAGCTTGCTTCACATGTCAATCCCAGCTCCCTCTCCCTCCCCTCCTCCCGCACCCCCAACATTCCCCCCAGCCTCCCACCCTATCACCACTTCCTTCCACATAGGGGATATCCAGAGTCTGTCATTTCACTCAGGGCAGGGTCCAGACACTCCTCTAAGAGTCCAGGCTGAAAGAACATCCCTCTTTGTGTTATGGACACATGAAGTCCATTTGTATGCCAGGGATAAACACTGATCTACTGCCCATGGCCACATAGGTTGCCCAGACCTCCTCACTGACTCTCACACTCAGGGGGTTTAAATCAGTCCCATGCTGGCCTCCCAGCTGTGGGTCTAGGGTCCAAGAGCTCCCCCCTTGTTCAGATCAGCTGTCTCTGCTGGTTTCGCCATTCTTTGTCCATTTGCTCATCACTCCTCTCTCTCTGTCACTGGGTTCCAGGGGTTCAGTTCAGTGTTTACCTGTGGGTGATTGCCTCTGCTTCCATCAGTCACTTGATGAAGGTGCTAGGATGGCATGTAAGGTAGTCATCAAGTTCATTATCAGGGATGGGCATTTAAGGCAGCCTCTCCACTATTGCTTAGCTTGCCAGTTGGTGCCATCCTTGTAGATCGCTAGAGGTCTCACTGGTGCCAGATCTCTCTTCAAACCTATAATGACTCCCTCTATTATGGTATTTCTCATCCTATTGTCCCCCATTCTTCCCCCAACTCAACCTTCCTGCTCCCCCATGACCTACTCTCTCCTCCTCTTCTCCCCCTCTCTTCTTCCCAGCTCCCACTCCCCCCCTGCCAACTTTTATTAATGTACCTCCTTCACTCCCCTAGTCACCTACCTCAAGACCTCTGCTTACAAAAGCTCTTTTATAGTCTCCTTCCCAGAAATCTCTGAATTAGACTTTGTTGCCTTCTTATTAAAGTAGCCTGTTTTAATAGTATCTGTCTTGCTCAGCGTTAGAGGTACATTTCTTTCCTTGGCAAAGGCAAAGATCTCATTTAGGATCTGATTTGGGCAATTTAAGTACATAAAGTTATCTGATAATCAAAACGCAAGTGAATAGGACAGTGTGAAGTTCAGAAACAAACCTTGATTTCCCATTTAACCAAAAGAGCATTTAAAATATTTTAGGGTGTTAAGGATTAACTCAACAGCACTGCTTGCATACCATATGTTGGGACCTGAGTTTAATCCCTACATAAAGGCAGAGGATGTTTAGAGATGATGGGGTGATAATTCACTTACAGAACTCTCCAGATCTTTTAAGTGAAGACTTTGTTTCCTTAATAATCAATGGCATGGTAAAAATTACATAGGACACAGAAAATTATGCTGCTGTTAGGAATATTTTTGTTTAACTTCTCAAGAGATAACTCATAAGGTAAAGAAAATATATTTTAATATCTTATTAAGAGAAGACCACTAATCTTAGAAGCTGTTGTCATTTCAATAGTGAAAGTCAAATAGTAGAATTGTCTC